CCATTTGGCGGTCAACAATAATCATTAGACATTAGACATATGCATATCAAATTATCATATATTTTAACAATAAGTATAAATTTTGTTTACATTCCTATAGGTTTCCGTACCAATGTTTATCCGTTAAACGGCGACGCGGCGCTTACGCGCTTCGATATTTAGTCTCTATGCATTTAAAGCAGTAGAATTGCTTTGAAAAGAGTTCAAAATTTCCAAAATATTTAGAAATAAATTTTTCAACAAAAAGTCAGTTTTTGTCTATTTATTTTTTCAGAGTAATTTTTTTTCAAAAATGTTAATCTTATTAAAAAAAAATAATTTTTGGTACGGGAAGTTCCAGCAATTTGCCTTGAAGCACGATGCCATGCGCCCCACTAGTTTATATTTATTTTATATACGTCATTTATTATCGCCATTTATACTGTATCTTGATTGCTATTGAAGAGAAAACTAGCTGTAAGTGGAATTCTGTCTTAAGGCAATTAAGGCATCGTGCCTTAGGCAAATTGCTGGAACTTCCCGTGCCAAAAATTATTATTTTTTTAAAAACGATTAACATTTTTGAAAAAATTTCACTTCGAAAAAATAAGATTTTTTAGAAATTTTAAATCGGACAAAAAATTACTTTTTTTTGAAAAAAAAATTTTTTTTTAAAAAAAATTTTTAAACAATTTTTTTTATAAAAATTTTTTTTTGGAAAAATGTTATCTTCATTTTGATATATTTTGGAAGATCTGAACTTTTTTTCAAAGCAATCGTACTGCTTTAACTGCATAGAGACGAAATATAGAAGCGCGTAAGCGCCGCGTCGCTGTCTAACGGAAAAACAATAGTACGGAACCCATAGGAATGTAAACAAAACTTAAACTTATTGTTAAAATCTCAATAAAATATCTGATCATTTGATATGTATATGTCTAATGTCTAATGATTATTGTTGACCGCCAAATGTTATTTTTTTTTAGTTTTTTTTTACTAGATCTCCGAAACCGCTAGACCTATCTTCATGAAAATTTGATCAATCTTCATCTTGTTAATACAAGTAAAATGTTTTTTGAACTATACAAATCGGACGCTTCGTTCTCTTAAAAACTGAGTTACCGTTTTTGGCACTTTTTGCCCCGTATCTCCGGAACGGCTAGAATGTTTTTTGAATTATTCAAATTGCTTCATCCGTGTTCCCGAAATCGTCGACGAAAAATTTGCATCCGAACACACACATGCACGCACACACACACACACACATACATCAATTTTCTCCAAGGTATGCCAACATATTCAGAAACCTCTGAAACGTGAAGATATATAAAAATTTTCATTTTCGATTTTTTTGCGATTACTTACCCTATGGAAAATTAATTATAAATAAATCAATTTATCATCTCCAGAACATTAACAATCGTCATTTCATTTCGAATCAAATTCCAAAAAAAAAAATTAGTTGCCAAATTTACCCAAAATTGAAAAAGTGCTCCCGCATAGTCACAGTCTAAACGCATTTGCAAATAATTCTGTGCGACATTTTCACTTATACTGTGCTCAGCTTGGCGGCATTTTCACATTTTTCAATAATTTTCACAAAATTGGAAAATTGCTCCAGTACACAAACAGTCTAAACGCACTTGGGTAAACATTTGTACCAGAGTGGCGCTTAGACTGTTCTTAGCTGGGTGATTTTTTTGAATTTTTAATCCAAAATTACAAAAAAATTTTTTTGAAAAAAAATTAGAAACAAATTTTTTTTTTTTCAAAATCAATTATTTTGTTGAAAAAAGCAGAAAGTTCTTTGAATCATTTAAATCGGACGCTTAGTTCTTTCAAAAACAGCCATTTTTTTAAATTTAGCTCTGTATCTCCGAAACCTCTGGGCCTACCTTTGCCAAAAACTAATCAGCACATCTCCCTATCAATAGGAATCGAATGTTTTTTAAACCATTCAAATCGGTTGATCCGTTCTCTTAAAAACTCGCTTTCTATTTTTTGCACTATTTGCTCCATATCTCCGTAACGGCTGGACCTGCCTTTGCCAAAAACTAATCAGCACATCTCCCTATCAATAGGAATCGAATGTTTTTTAAACCATTCAAATCGGTTGATCCGTGCGCCCGAAACGTGGACGAAAAAACGCGGACATACAAACACACACACACACACACACACACACATCCATTTTTTCTGAAGTATGCCAAAATGTTCAGAAACCTTCAAAACGTCGAGAATGTAAAAATTTTCAATTCCGATTTTTGGACGATTACTATAACTTACCCTACGGGAAGTTAAAAAAGTCGAATAGTTTTTGCTTGATTAAATCGTGTTTAAATTTATGTATTTGATATTTTATAGACTTTTCAATAATTATAAGGAAATTATGTTATTTAAATTGTAATATGCAATATACAGGGTGTCCCAAACCTTGACGTCAAGCCAAAATTGCATTGACCTTAACAGTTCTGAAAAAAATTAGAAAAAAAATTATCTTGCGTTGTTTGGAAATTATGAGCTTTTAAGTGCAACTAGAGCTTTGGTGAAATTATGACCATTTTTCGGTTATTGTGGTTTACTTTCATTAATTTTGTTTGTTTAGATTTGGAAACGTAACCGTAAATAATATTTCTAGAACCATAGTAAAAAATATTGTCAATGGTTTTCTAGTAATAAGACTATTTGTTAATGAATTTAAAATTCTCAAAATTGTACTAAATTGTATAGGCAAGTTTCATCAAAAGTTTTCGCATTTAATCGATATTATAAAATGGTAAATTACTTGATTACGTGAAAAAAATATACTTGATTACATAATAACCTAAAAACTTTAAATTAGCAAATTAATAAAAATAAACAGCAATCACTGCAAAATGTCACAGTCCCATCAAAGCTCTAGGTTACATTTAAAAGCTCAATAGTTTGATATTGATGTTTTTTTTTTTTCAATTTTATTTCATGATATTTTACGATCAGTACTATTTCCGCGTTTCGGCTTGACATTAAGTTTTCGAACACCCTGTAAGTGTAAACGAAGAATTTTATTCATATCCTTTTTTATTTTATTCATTATTTTTCAAGTAATACTAGAGGTTTCTGGCAATACAAGAAAAAATCAAATCATTATTAGAAAATGGCAACCGTTGGATCGACTTCTAAAAAACCAGGTGATTTAAAAGTATCATCAAAGACAACAACAAAAAAGAGAGCTATTAGTTCTAATTGAGGTTCAGAAAATTAATAAATATTTTTGTTGCAATTTTTTCCTCGTACATTGTGTAGAGTTATATACAACCGTTTATAATATTTTGATGTGTTTGATTTTTTTTACAGCAACATAGCACATATTGCCAAGACCACAATAAATTTGATGCAATCTATACAACCTGTAAGACCTATTTATTTAATAAGAAAGCAATATCTTTGAAACTGTGAACCAGACACGAAAGAAACACAACCATGACTAAAACCAAATTCAACTTTCCTAGACTTTTACAAAGATTGTGTAGAACAAAATAAGACAACCAAACTCTTGGTTTCCATTTTCTAAATGGAAATGGAAAAACCAAGAAATGGTTGTCTTATTTGATTCTGTTGCTTTTTTCTATGGTTCATATCTTTGAGATTATGAACCATAGAAAAAAGCAACAGAATCATGGCTCAAACCAAAAGCAACTTTACTAGACATTCACAAAAATTGTTAAGAACCAAATAAGACAACATGTGCCTATGTTTCCAATTTGACTCTAAATGCAATATCTTTGAGATTATGAACCAGGCATAAAAGCAACAGAACCATGGCTAAAATCAAAACCAACTTTACTAGATTCAAAATGCAATATCTTTGAGATTATGAACCAGACATAAAACTCTAACCAAAAGCAACTTCACTAGACTTTTACAAAAATTGTGAAGAATAAAATGAGACAACCGGTGCCTCGGATTCCATTCTGACCCTAAATTTGTCTCGTCTATCTATTGGTAGAGGCATCAGGCGTAACCATTCAGGCCTTTACCGATTTTTGGACACAGCCCAGCAATTTCATCAAAAATAATAATCAACCTAGTCACGACACCAAAAACAATACCAAAGAAAACTGCAACCCTAACGCATTACAATTTATCTTCAAACTATGACAAAACCTTTACTTTTGCAATGCACATCATAAATCAATTACCATATTTGGTAATCGTAATAAAATATTAAACGGGCCAATTCTATGATAAAATAGCTATGGTAAAATTCTAGAACATATAACAATAGTTGCCAACAATTGCAAAAGCAGAAGACGTCCATCCTAAACCAATTAGCAAGTCGAGTCTACCTGGAAGGCCAGCCAACCAGGCTTAAAAGAAAAATACCAGAAGACCTAATATAGTATTAACTATAATACTCTAATTTTACTATAATTTGTTATTTTTTCCCCTTTTGTTTTTAGTTTTGATTATAATATTTTAATTAGCTCTAGTAGATTCGCCACTGGAAGTACCAACTAATTTGTGATCAACTATTTTACCATATACTTGTCAGCATTCTCTGCTTAATTTAATAATATATACAGATTGCAGAATAAAATTGAATATAAAAAATAGCTATGCTGTGTTACCAGTCTTTTATGCTGACTGCTAAGTAATCGAATGAATTGGTAGTCACGAAACTCACAATCACGATTCTAAAACCTAACCTCCAAATGGCTCACATGACAAAATTTTTTTTTCAACTATATATTTACAACTGTCCTACGTAGTCATTAAGAAAATCTTTTGGCAATTATATGTAAAAAATGATTCTATATATAAATAGTGAAAAATACACATGCACATGACAAAATAACAACTGATTGTTGCAATTGGAGTAGCCCACTGGGGTGACCTCCACCATGTGATATATGTCAACTCCAGTACTATTACTAGAATTCTGATAACCACCACTTAATAGCTTATAGATTTTCTTGTCTTCTGATTGCTATTTAATTATTGTTAAAAAAATGTTGCTCTTATGATTTCGATCCTCTTACCTTTGGATGCGATATAGTCGAGTGCTTTGTTGACGTTGGCGATCTTGTGGAATCGCATTTTGCCGCGGTCGGGTTTTGGCAGTGTCTCTCCGGAAATGACTTCCAGCAGTAACATCAGTTTCAGGCCGTTGCGGAAATCGTCTTCGATGTTCTCGATTGCAGTGCCGGCCTTGCGCAGGTGACTGTTGCACCATGCCGTGAATGTCTGGAGAAAAAAATTACGTGTTAATTAAGTCATTCTTTTTAAACGAGAGAAAATAGATATATAATTGGAAAATTATAGAATAAAAATAATATTTATTATCTCCTTTATTTACAACTGTCCAGTTAAGGACATTTAATAAATTTGTGGAATTTACAATGGTCGGCAGTGAAGGGACATTGTATACTAAAGGGGCATGTTGGAAAAAACAACACGGTTCTTGTTTTCGCATTCGATATAAATTTCACAATATTTTATTGATAATTATTAGGCTTGCAACGAATAGTATATTCGGCAAAATGCTGAATACCGAATAATCGGCAACTATTCGGCAGGTCTTTGGCGCCTAAACTTGTTTGTATTAATGTAATTACTATCAATAATTGTTATATTATTAACGCGCTACATTCAAGTTTTATGCCTAGGCTTGCAACCACTATTCGGCTACTCTTTGTTATTTAGAAAATTTGGCACCATTTATACCATTCGGCCGAATACCGAATACTTGAATACCTCATGTGATAAGGAAATAAATGGCAAAATCATGAAAAAAGCGATTCTTTACATATATGTAAATGTATGTCCAGTTATTTCTTTCATAAACTCAATATTATTTCTTATATATTAGGAAAGCTAATCATAATAAAAAAAATAAAATATGATCAAAAATATTGTTTGTATATTTAGCGAGAAAAAGTCAATAATAGCTCTTTATTTAGAAATGCTTAGATTGAAAATAATAAATGACTTTATTGTATTGATACAACATATGCGTGTAACCATGGATTGATTCATATTAAATAATATAAACATGTAACAATGAAGTATCTTGTGAATATTCAGAAAAAAGTTCTTCGCGTGTTCATTGATAATGTCGAAAGTCCATAAAGTTTAAATTATTATATATACAATAACGAAATAATTTCTTTCATATCATATTATGTAAACTAAACACTTCCAAAGACAGATCCATCGCGAGTTCTTTATCGCATAATAGATAAAACACCAACAATGCTATCGCTGAGAGGCGGCGTCGTCTTTTGAAAAGGTGCCGAATATGCCGAATACCGAATAGTAACCGAATATTCGGTGCAAGCCTAATAATTATATAATTTTAACTATTTACTAATAATTAAATAATTTCTTATAAATAATGATTAAGTTATTTCCATTTTTTATCAGGAGAGTTGATGGTTTAAATTCAGTGGCGCTTTTCTTTCCAATCTTCTAAGATAGTTCTCTGTTATCAAGCTAATGAATTTGGGTGACTGATTAGCTTGTTTCTATACTTATAATATATAAACATAATATGTCTCACTTTATCAAATTTTAATAATAACATCACTATTTCACCAATGGGTGTTTCACGGTTAAGCTCACTGACTCATGGGAACGGGGTGTGAGTTCTAACTCTGCTCTGGACAACCTAACATAGTGCAATACCGATGACCATTTTAACTTGAAAATACGGATCAAAAATACGTTTCCAAGGTAAAGTGGCAATGGCACACTATTCTCCTCTGAACCAAAATGGAATTTAACTCAGCTCATAAACCTGAACTAGGGCAGTACCACCCATCATTTTTATTATTTTACCAATGCTCGTTTGTGCAAATGACAAAATATTGGCAAAGAAGTAGCAAATCAGTTTTAAATTATTTAACCAGGTATCGAGATAAAATGTTGTAAAGATAAAAATCTAGTTACAACTATTTATTTATATTTATGTGCAATACATGGGAAAAGGGTAAGCAAGAACTGTGGAGGGAAATTGTAAGTCAAAAAATCTCCCTCCCAACTAATTTTATAAGAATGTTGACAAAAAAAAATATAGTGAGCAATATAATTATATATAATCTAATGTGTATGACTAATGTACTTGTATACAAAGTCAAAAAATAATTATTAAAAAAAAACTATTTATTTTATCTAATATATCCTCAAAGTATTCTGAATACAATATCTTAAAATTGGAGAATGCGTTTCCTTTTCTTATTTTCAAAAATGGCTATCTAAAAAGCCAAGTCAAAGATTTATAAGCATGACGAATATACTCGTTAATACACAAAATTCTGCCACTTCTTCATGGCGAATATACTCGTCAATCACAATTATCTGATTAATAGATATCATTGGAGAGAGTACTAATTCAGATTCAAATTAATTTAAAACTTAAATACCTCATTTTGGAATATTTGTTCTGATTGCAATTCGGAAGTTAAATAAAGGAATGTTGTTTAAACAATTAGTTAACGTCAATTGCCTATTTAAGTTTATTTTGACACTGAATTTAATTCTTCATTAATATAATATATTATATTTCACACAAATATTTTTTTTTCTATTTGGTTTTTGTAACATATTATTCTCTATATTATCTATTAACATATATGTAAAATTAAAACGTTTTATGAGTAAGTACTCTTGTTCATTTAAATTTATGTTATTGTTCATTATTATTACTAGATGTTAAATTATTCAACAGTCGTAATAAATATTGTAATTTAAAAAAAAGTGAGTAATAAGTCTTGGATTTTTTTTTATTAAGTAGTGTTTGTGATCCGTACAAAAAATCCAAATAAAAAAAATTCTTTTGGATATAAGCAGATTAGATATTATTATATGCTTCATTTTCTGGTTTTCTGCCCAGAGTTAAATACATACTTTGGTTTTGATGAACACTATATAATAATAATCAAATACATCTGCTAGAATAAAAATAAATTATTCATTGTGTGTTAAGAATATTCTCAAATGATACAAGAATTTGTATAAATAATTTAAAAATTATTAATGATTATAGAAATACTTGCAAGTAAAACTCTTAATATTACATTTTTTGCTAATATTAACCGAGTGTTACATCTCTACAGGGAAATCTCCTCGGGGATGAGACTTCTAAGAGGCCGTCCATTAATCACGTGATCAATTTTTTTTTAGGGATTTTTGGGGCTCTTCTCCTCCTTGGTCATACGTCGTGATATTTAATATCACCCCCTTCCTCTCCCACCAAACATCAAGTATATTTTTAGTCATGTAAAATTTTTCAAACAAATTTTTAGAATTTACGGAAAAACGTAATATAGTCTTTTTTAAAGGTTTCAATTTTTTTTTTAAATTCTGGTGAAAAATACATACACGAAATATCTTACTAGACCCCTCATTCACCCTCGCGATTTTTCGTGATTTTTTGTCAAACTCGCCCTCCCCATAAAAGAGTCATGTGATTGTTGGATGCCCCCTAAATGACATATTTATTTGGTCATATAGACTCATAAAAATTTGTGATTGTCTATAATAATGTTTTTTCAATATTTTTCCAAAGGCCTCATTTCGCCTAGCCCTGCTTTCTATCCGACATTCCTTATTTTTTAAACTAAAACTTCTCCCATAATATAAATGTGATGCAACCAAAATACATATTCGCGGGCCCGTCTGCCGGCCTTGAGATTCCGCGACGGTTCTTGTAAACAAAATATCTCAGTACTGATCATCTCTCGGTTACGTGAAATTGTAGAAAGAAAGAGAAGCTGCTGGCACATTTTGACAGAAACGAGCTACTTGAATTACGCAAATTGTGATAATGAATGAGATTAATGGGAATTGTCCGTTGAGAAAACAAGGAAGAGCAAATTGCACTTGCATGTAGGGGAGACCGGGGGCGGCTGTGCCAGGGTACGGTAGCGACAATCATCATCATAACAGATAAACTGTCCTGATTTTGATATAGAGTCCAAAGGGAAAAAGATGAAGTATGATTGTTCGAACAAGTTCCATTTAAAGCTTTCAGTAAATTATCATTTTATTTACTTTTTCCCAGCTGACTGACAGCTTACCAAACTTTTTTGATAATTACTAATAAAAAAAATTACCTATTTGGTTGTCAACTTTCCAAAGAGCCATAAAAGAACACAGCTACTAAAACTTAGCTTTGTATAGAAAGTTAGTTCCGCAATATTATTTTTTTTACTAGATGATTCGACAGACGTTATTCTGTACCCATGTCTACAATTTTTTAATATAATATACTAATATTTACCGTCTACCTAAAAATAATAAATAATGTTTTTTAAATTACCCATTACGCCAAAATGCGTATACGTTTATAATATGAGCGATGTTAAATGCAGAACTACTTTAAATAAAATGATGAGTCTCAATTCTCACGCCATATTGGAAATCGCAGTCTTTTAAACGGTATAACATAACCATAACCATAACATAACACTGGTACTTCATGTTGGATTAAATTAATTTAATTTTTTATTATTTAAGATATTCAAAACTGCATCTTAAAGTTCTATTAATCGATATCGTGAGGACCAAATTGTATGTATTCATCTTTACTTTCCCATATATTATAAAGTGAAATTTTTACGAATTTTAAAAATATTGTTGAAAGATTGCAAAAAAAAAACTATATTGAAAATTTAATAACCGAATCTTGTGTTGGCGCCCCCTAAGGCGTGCGCTCTTATTCTTCGCATGCATCGCATTAAAGGCAGAACCGGCCCCGATTAATACTTAATTTCATATTTTAAGTAAATTAATTTTTTCATATGTGTCTTATGTATATGTATCTTATTTTAATTCCTCGCACATCTCAGCTGCTTTTTGGCAATAATAATATTGACATTTCATTTTTCTTATTTATAATTATAAATTTATTATACATATTCTAGTATTGTCCTTCCCAGTACTTTATAATCACATACATCCTAGAAAATTTCCTTAACAAACTTCAGAAAGATTTATCGAAATCCGAATAATCGTTTAGGAAGAGTATACAGTGAGTGCTTGTAATTTAATATAAACTTTATATAATAGCAATAAAGCTCAAATTAATTCTACGTTTTACTTAGAAAACGTTTGTATGTTTTTAGGGGTTTCCCGGCAATTATTCGAATTTTTTTCGCCATAAGAACCATGCTTGGACTACAACAAACATTTTGAAAAAAGAATTGGCAAAATTGGTGCAGGCGTTGTTGAGTTATACGCT